AAATACTATGTACAACTGTTTCATCCGTATTGTGGGTGATCAGCAGTGTGCATGTTACGAAAATCCATTAAGGGTTCAGTTCAATCGTAACCTCTAGTTGACCTACCCTTTTCATCAACTTGCTACACATGCTGTTCATCATAGCAGGACCGCCTTGGATGATGCCCCAATCCGGCAAACTTCAATCCCAACCTAGAAGCCTAAATGAGCTCACGACCCGGGGTCTTTCCATTGGCCCTTGGTACCATCCTCTAGCCAGCCAAGCGGACTTCCAATAACCTTTTATTCTGGAAGTTGCAACTGGCAAAATTATATTGCAGTACTAGCGAAGTACACTAAGTTGCATACCAATTTGGTTACGAGGGGAGACTCTCCTGGAACGCAGCTCACTCTCGATTATGATGTTTTGAAGCAACTGAATGTATTACACTAGGCCGCCTCATGTTTCAGTTGACTCGATATTTGAGATACATTGTGTGGTCGTGATACACACTATTCATTAGGTCGAACAGTTTTCAGGAACCTTAAGAGTAGTGTATTACGTCTATATTACAATGCCTTGTTCGGCGATCCCAGTGTGATTCGTCTGGCCTGTCGAGAATTTTCGGCGCATTCTGGCACATGGAACCTAGGCTGTCTACAAACAACAAGCCTTGTCTCTGCTTTCAGCTCATGGTCTGATAACCACTTCATAGTAGTCAGTTCATAACACACTTCCAACTGATCCAAAGCCCCATTGACATATTCGGGATGCCTTTTTCCGTGCACATAAACACACGCTCACCGCTTTCCCGTTTTGATCCGAATATCCTTACATCAGCATAGCAAACCCAAAAGGGACCCCATCCGTTGCATTCCGTCGACCTCACAATCTCCGGAATCCAGCGGCCACGTTTGAACATTTTGTCTACTATCTCATTTGAGTATAATGCAACAACGAAATCAATCACTGATCTTTTCTGTGGTCCGGCTATCACGAGGGCAGTTGCTCCATAGCGGAACAGTGTATCACCTGTCACAGAAGTAAAGCTCAAAAGTCCTAACCCTTCTCCATGATCTTCCACACTTCCCGACTCTCGTTTTAGACATGTGCGCCCCTCGTGCGATGGTTTTTTATGTCAGCAACTGTATTGATTGTCCTACTCGTCGATCCCATCCGTGATAACCCCACTGAAACGTCTCCAAAAACGCTTGCGGAGTTCTTGGTATCATTTTTTTCAGGCAACCATGCAAACATCAAAACGACTACTCCGTCGTCTTCCCACAAGTTTTTTTAGAAGCAGTCATCAAATGTTCCTTGGATTGCACAATTCCGTTAATGTCGGGTGCACACACCGGACAACTTATGCCAGATTTCAGACTACCGGTTGGGATGGCCGTGAACCCAAGTGCCTCAGATGAGCTCAACTCTATATCCTTTGCGCACGGCTAAATAACAGCCGAACCTTTTGAGGCCAAGTGACACATGCGAAACATCGCGTCTCCCCAAGGTACACAGAAAGACAATCATGCCTCTTCGTCTTCAGTAATGTCGATGGTATTCGCAGACCTCTAAAAACCACCCAGTCATCGATCGGGGACGCATCTTCTGTGAGTACTGGCCATTTGGGAGTTCACAATTGGACAACGGTTCGTATTCCACAGTCATCGATCGGGGACGCATCTTCTGTGAGTACTGGCCATTTGGGAGTTCACAATTGGACAAACGCTTCGTATTCCACATATATTCCCTCGAACTCCCAATCATGTAGCTGCGTCTATCCTTTCGTTTTCTATCTTCCCAACTCTCCCTGTACATTGCAAGCAAACAAACCTTGGTGGCGTATTTAACCGGCCTACACGGTACGTCCGGACAACTGGGTGACCACTTTTCTCGATAATTCTTTACTTTATGAGAGCTCTGTAGTGTTTCCACAGTTCCTCACCTACCGCACGCGATTCCTATGGCTAATTGCGCATTGTTACGTGCGCATACGTACATGTATGGAAACGGTGGTTTCTAAATTCAGTTACGTGACCTGAATGTGCGAAGTCAAATGACGGGAATCAGGATACAGGAGGAGTCAGGTACGCAGAAGCGACGTACTGCGACTCAATGCTCACAAAGCGGAAATTCCGTCTGTCCACAGATCAGTGTGAACATCCCATTGCTGTCATCCTGAGTGATAGCAGTAGACCAATTGGTGAGCAACCACCGAGGAACAATAAAATGGCTGAGCTCTGGCAAAAACTTTCAGTCTCAAATGAGAAATATCGGGAGTAGCTTGCAGTGGAATTCATGAATTTGAGTGTACGTCTTCATAAGACAATATTAGTGGGACAGTCTCAAGATTTTAGCTGATTGAGCTTAAATTAGAAAGAACACGTAACTGACAGACGTTAGCTAGGCGGTGACAACACGCTCACCTAAAAGAGCTATGTCAAAACTGCACGCTTCTTTGGTGAAAAACTCGGCGGTTAAGGTGCGAGGCTATCGACCAGAACACCCATGGTTCTGATCTAATACCAGCAACTCGGTTGCTCTTGTCTAGGTATGGGCAATATCAGGAAGATCAGATCTCTGAAAGCAACCACTGGATGCCCGAAATCCACTGAGGCCCTCAGCTCCACTATATGCTGACCAGACAGACAACGCCCCCGCAATGTGCAGCGTGTCACAGCCTCGTACCAAAGCCAGGCCGCGTGCGTCAGCATTGAACGAAGTTCAGACAGTGTACCTCCAATAAATAGCTTGAGGCACTCACGCTCTCGCACTCACTTGTTCGGAATATAGCTACTGTTCCATTGTCTTTTCTCCGGCACTAGGCACTGCAGCGGGGTCAGCGGTCAGATACCACAGGTTGGCGAATCAGCAGGTATAACAGACAATCGGGCAGTATCCTAGCCCTCGCCATTCCCCTATGTAGCACTGAAGGGGCATCACAACTGAACAATTATTAGGGGAAAGTAGACGAGCACGTACAAGGGCAAGACATTTTAGTGTCGTTTGGGAGGCGAAGTCCGCTACACCCACTCATTTTGGTGTCGTTTGGGAGGCGAAGTCCGCCACACCGCCATGGATTAGAGTCTGTTTTCCAATCGAGAACTGGGCACCCCTCAGTAATAAACTCATGCGCACTCTCTATCCCCTTCAATTGATGACTGGCACAGGAATGTAGCGGACCGAACTGGGGTAGTCGTACGCGACTAACGGCTCAGTAAGTCGAAAACAGCGGTTCCTTGTTGCAAGCAACCTATGAGAAAGTGTCAACATTTCGTAGCCAGTGGGGTCGACCTTGAGCTCAATAAATGAACCAATCCGCATGTTTGACCACTCGAACTAACCGACCGCTGCGTTGATTGTACAACTGCCGAACAAGAGTAGGCGAACGGTCAAATCTTTTTTTCTTCACCGAGACAGGTGTGCTGCCACTCGCCAACGGAGCGATAGTGTCTAGCTGCGAGGTTTTTCAGTTGGCTGAATCAATCGTTCGGTGGCAACAAATCACTTTGACGTCGTAGGTGCCGCCCTTCCTGTCGGTGCACGCGAATCCCATGCTGTACACCGTACCCTTGTTTGGATTGTCCCTAGATAACATGAGATCGTGTAGTTCTCGCTCACTCGGAGAAGTTAGCGACAGGTTTTCCGAATATAGGGGAGAAAGCGAGACTTTATTTCTTATCCGACGAAAGACCACCAGGCTGGACGCAGAGATCATCTATCCTGTACCCGGGGTGGTGTACTACTAAGTTAGCTTCCGTTGTCAAAACAATAAAAGACGGATAGAAGGTGAGAAACAGATCAGGTCAACCGGTTTCGCAAGACCACATTGTAGAATAACGGATGTCATGTCAAGCTGCTCTGTTGTGCGTATCAGCTTGGCCACAAGGATCACATAAGCTGTCTTGAAATTCACAGCCGCAAAACCAAGTTGAAGGATGGTCGAGAACGGTTCATTCGCACATTGACGGACAGGTCCAGTGAAACTAAGGATTTTATTCTAAATCATTACAGACGTCGGCCACCGCCCGAGATCTGACCTTGTCTCTCAGACAAGGCTGTGTTGTGCAATCGCCAAACATCGGTCGAGGTGAACAAACCAGACTGTAAACGAGTCATTAGACAGTTATGCCGCGTGACTGTCATTTCGGCACTAGTAACCACGGTTTCGGATGTCCTACAACGAGCAACTACCGGGTGTTGTTGCACCTCAAGAAGAGTGACGACAAACAGACGACGCTGTTTGAGCGCTTCTCAGGCAAACTTCGCTCAACCATTTAACCAGTTGCCTTCCGTGTATTTTTACTCTGGGACCCCCTTCTCAAATGAAACCTCAATTTTGGGCTTATTCTGAACCGAAACTCACGATCTCGGTGTCGGTATGTAGGACTACGCAGTGGCAAAGCAGAAAACACGTCGATTAATGATGAGTGGATTAATTTCAGAGGCGCACAAATTGTAAAACTATTGAACGGTTTTCGTGGGGAGCCGTTCTCAACACGCTACAAAGCATTTCCTCAAATTAAAGTTGTTTTCGGTCGCTCGAAAGGGCTTAGGTGGTATATCAGCCTGATTTCGAATTTTCCCATTCGGATCTGGCTATTCCTGGCGTGCTCTGCTGAGCGGCGATGAACTCAAGAGAGACGCATCACGGTTGATCAGCGAATCGGCTAATGAGAGTCGAACGACGTGACTCCGTGATCCTAGGGCCTGTCACAGAGAAGCCGACAGGCCTCGGTGATCAGCTGTATGCTGTATGTCCGATCACGTGTTGTAACAAGCCACCATACGCTTTGATATGCGCTATTCGGTGATACAGCGCACCAACGACCATCACCAAAACAATTGATGGCCGAAGATCACCACACACACACACACACACGCACAGACGCACTGGAAACCTAAACGCGACACGAACACAATCAACGAACCAAGCGAATTCAGCGTACCAGCCAACATTGGGATCCCACAGACCCGGAAGTAGGGCAGGATTCACAAGGGAACAACAACATGACAGTTAATCGCTTAGGAAACTCCATCCCTAAAATGAGGATGCAGCGTGAAATCACGGCAAATCCCTCGTCACATCACAAAAAAAATAGTGGTGGAAAACAAGAGGATCCGGATGGAACGACACAATCAAGTCTGTACAAAGAACGGAAGGAAAGGTCGTTGAATTACGGCAGTCTGTGTGTGAGTGAACACTAGTCAGGTAGGAATGAGCTGAAAGCTGAAAAACAAGAAAATATCAGCAACACTAGCCACCTGTGCATACTCTGTGGTAGAAAATCGATTATGATGATGATGAGGTTGAAGACGGGGATAAAACCAACCGCGAGTAGTGTGTGCAAAAGAGAGGCAGTGTGTGGAACGATACGCTTCGAAGAGATAATCGATTATGGGAGGCGTCTGAAGGTAGGTTAGTTAACAAATTACAAGTATCTTGATTTTGATGAGTATCAGAGAAAAAACAAAACGAAAATGGACAGAAAGACATAGGTCGTGATTTTTGCTGTTGAGGGTGTGTATGGTGGGGAGCCTGGGTCTATTGATTGCGGAAAACCCCGTAACCCGAATTATTAGGATTCGGTCGTTGGCGATTGGATGCTACCTGGCACGTGAAGAGGTAGATGAGAACACGACAAGAGTAATTTTTTTCAAAAAAAAATAACAAAAGATGGTGCACATACAGACAGTCCAAAATGGGCTACAAAAAAGCCCGTGTGCATTTCTAACCAGGACGGTAATTAGCAAAAGAATTAGCTTGGGAACAACATTCCAGCGCACATAATGTACTACTCATAAGGTTGCTGAAAACAATTCGACAGCCCACGACTGGTTTCGCCCTTCTTGGGGCCCATCAGGTAGGTGCAGTTCCCGACTTTCCGTCAACCTTATGTTCTAATTGGAACCAAATTGCACGAAATGAGCGAATTGAACTCAATTGCAAACCGATTCTGGGTTTGCGAGAGACTCACCTGGAACCCGGTTGAGGAATTTCCAGCAACCTTTTAAGTAGTGCATTACGCATATACACGTATCTCGAATATCGTGCTAACTGAAACATGAGGCAACCTGGTGCCGCACATTCAGTTGCCTGGAAACAGCACAAACGAGAGATTCAGCTGGGTTCCAGGTGAGTCTCTCGCAAAACCAAATTAGTTTGCAAATGAGTGTATTTCTCTAATATTCCAGCATTTTTCTGCAAACGCAGGGGTAGCAGTTGCTGGGCCGTCAGGAAAAACACCCGAAGCGAGGGTGTCAAAAGATCGCTGGTGCAACTGAGAAGACATCACCAGCTCCTAGATTGTCCAGAGCAGCAGAACAACGGTTATTAAACTAGAAACACAAAACGCGTGGATAACAAAAGGCCAGTGGTCTGGCCTCAAAAAGGGTGTCTTGGTCGTTTGAGAAAATACAAATGGGTTCTAGGTTGCGTAGACCCACTGAGGAAAGATTGGTACACCGAGTGTTCAGCGGTGGGGAACGTTTTGGTTATCACCGGAGGGTCCCAGTTGTGGTCGTGTGGCGTTAACTCGTTTGTCGCTTCGGATGGCGAATTAACCTGGCTAGTGCATAACGTGCTTTAAAGAGGCTCACCCTAGATTTCTGGAGTTACGGCTGTGCCTCTCTGGAGAGGCCATCTAGAAGAACTAACCGAAGGAGGTCTGGTATTGAGCATGGTCCGTTCTGTGACGACTGTAGCACTATAGTAAGCTTCGAGGGACCAAACAAAATCAGTCACTTTCCACGACGACCTCTCCAGGATGAATCGTGTCTCAGGTCCATGATGGTGCTTGATACTGTCGTAAAAAGCAAAAATCACGCAAATTACGTTCGAACAAATAGAGTTTCGTTTTGGATCGTTGGTGATGCAGCCCATCTTGAATCGGATCCAACGGTTTGGACTCCAATTCGGCCTTAACCTTGAGCCTATAACGTTGCAACAAGTGATTTTGTGTGGTCGCTAGTAGCAGACTAGTATGTACCAACCTCAAAAACTTCGGTTGCCCCAAGCTGATGTGGTACCTAAAAGGTCTATCGGGCTAACATACTGATGACCTTCAGAAGCAATCCTTTCTGTTCGAGGCCCCCATTCGACTGCAACATCCAAAAGGATGCACATGCAGATCAGCACAAACCTTGAGAAATGGCCCACCGTGTAGTTTGATATGGAAAGCGCATCCGGGAACAGATGCTGCGTAGTAGTACCAGGCCGTCGAAGAGTTTTCAGCAACCTTGTGAGTAGTTTCCTTTATGAAGATAGTATCAGTGCAGTTCGGTTTCAATGCGGAAAAGCACCTAAAAATTAATTTAAGGTAGACATCCGTATTGCCACTGTCACTGTAGACTCATCCGCAATGCGAGTTAACCAGAACGCTACTCCTAAAAAGGCGTTCAGCTGTAGCACTCTTCCAGTGCCTAGCTGCCATGCCACCCGAAGGAAGCACGAGGGCTGGGATACTGCCAGGTTGCCCAAGCCTAAACAGGGGAAGTCGAGTGGCGGAGGTCGAATTCGAACCGCAGGCCTTCCGGTCAGTAAATTAGCGCTCTAACCACTTGGGTCATCTCGCCCCCTAGGCATATAGTATCATGAGCGGAAACCCTTCTAACAAGGTAAATGCTTCGAGGCACTGAACAGAGCTAGTTTGAGATCTGGTTGTCAGATTATGTTTCACTCTTTCCCTACTCGTCATTTTCTCACACGGGGACAGCCGCGGTCATCACGGAGTTCAGTAAAGATTGACGATCGGCCGGTCGGTATATAAAGCGAGGTCACGAATAAAAATCGATGCTATTCGTGCTGAGGACAAGAAGACCACGGGTCATTTAACGTGTCAACAATATGCTTCTAGAGACAATCGGCATGATTTTGAATACACATACTGCGATTTGGTGCTCATAGGGTAAAACGGCACGAAACAGTTGTATGGATGAGCAGAAAAGTATTCTCTTGATTACACCCACGTAGTCAGAGAAACGTAGGTTGTAATCGGATAAACTTATCATACTTTCACTGACCTTTGGATTCAGTATCTTGTGTGAGCCCTCCAGCGACAGCTGCAGCAAATGTGGTGGGACGTGACATGGGGCCTGTATGCGATCTCGGCGCCACGTACACTCCAGGTTGCTGAGGTCCACCTGTCAACTGGGGGCCCACTGGTTCAGCAACCGAGGTAGAGCGCGGATTCTGAGCGCCATGTGAAGGACCGTTCCCCTGGCCTATCGGACGAGGACACGTCCCGGATGGGTTGGGCGACAGGAGGCTGTTTTGGAAATATAAAGAAACAAACTTGGTTTAAACGAGCAGTAGGAAGCATTGCGTCAGTCGACCAATGAAAGAACGGCACGGTAATTCACACTAAACGGGCCGAAAGGTACACTAGGGTCTGGTAAGTCGATGTGAAATGCAGGACAGCATTCTACAAAGCCATCGACGAACGTTTGAAAGTCAGTCCTACTCTTGGATAGAGATTGACAAGCGTTCGAATTCGGCACCCTTCACCAAACACACGTAGTACAAACGCTTTCTTGTGATGGTGGCACGCGACGGCTAAATATCAAACAGAATCGGTTGGCGGACCACATATACGTTGCTTACTGGTATATAAGACGGCACACTGACAACAAAGAGCAGTGTAACAGCACACCATTGTCACAGAATCACGCAAACCTTATTGTGTAGAGTCATGATGCGCTTAAACAACCAAACACATGGTCGACCACACACAGGAGACACAAACGAAAACATAGGAAGTCACATGGCCATGGATGTGTTTGGCCAGAAAACTGGAGGATTATTCAACGGCATACTGGGAGAAGTAAATACAAGTCTGATATAGGCGGGACTAGAATAGACCAACTCACCGTTGGGTGTGTAACAAGGTTGCCTCGCCTCCATTAATGGGATCAATGGCAAACGTATGCACCAAGCCGTCGAGTCCAGCGACTATGATTCTCGGTTGATTTTGGTAGCTAAAAGAGGTAGGTAAATAAGATCGGACCAAACAGTTAACTTACAAGACGACCGCGGCCACTTTGTGCAATCCAACAGGCTGAGAAACGAGAACAGGGGAACCGGTTGAACCATCACCAGTCGCGACACTCGAGACGGCACCAGCAGCACCCGTACCAACAACGCACTGTGGACTCCCTCGGCCGGTCGCAGACCATAGGAAACTGGATGAACTGGATGGGATACGTGCATAGGCGAAAGCACGGTCTTGGGCGAATATCTCAGAAACCTGATGAGGTAAATAAGATGAGTAGGCCTTTAAGGTGCTTCCCATCCAGCCCATGAGTCCACCAGTCCAGCCCGATGAGCCGCTACTCCCGACGTTGGGATCCGAGACAAGGGGAGAGCCTCGATCGACTGTAGGTGCAGCAGCATGTCCGTCGTCAGCCGGACCCGATTCGCCATCCTCACTGCTGGTGGGGCATACGCCAGTTGTGCTACCTTGACTGACAACTGAACCGCTGGAGGTAGTACGGCGACGCGTGTAGGTAAGTGGTCCACCGTCCAAGCCTTTATTGCCTCTGGGAAAGGAGAATAGTTTAATCTACATTGAGTACAGCGATCATAAGGGAGGGGGGGAAGTTGCGAACGACATTCAACGGTAGTCTAAATTGACCCTATCACTTGTGCAATAGCACTACCTTGGTTGGTACCCATTACAAAATTACATTGGGAAGTCTTCGCCTAGCTTGTAATGAACTAGGAAAAACTTCCAAGAGATGCACATGAACAAAGAGACAATGGGTTCTCCAAACTGTCTTTTTTCACAGGCAACCAAACGTTATACGCCCTCGATTAGGTAGGGATTGGAGGTTCGTCCTAAAGACCACACGTGTTGATCGATTAGTAGTAAGCTCGAAATACCCGGAAAATAAAGATTCAGGAACACGTCACATCTGCAGAGTTAAAAACGGCATTCGGCTAAGTCGAGTGTGCAATGTTTTGGCGATGGGTTCCACTAAAAGATGCTCAAAAGACTTGAGTTCCGAAATTGCTGGGCGTGTGAGAGAGATGGTGAACATTCCATCGAGTTCAGCATAAAAATTGGTCATCCTCAAGATATTCCGTCATCGTTTTTTGTTCAACATTGTCTACTTTCCATGACAAATTTACTTATATACGTAGTCATATGTGAGGCTTTGAAAGACCTTGACAACAGGAAGGCCATGCGGTCATCTTCGACCACAGACTGTATCACAGTACTGAGGTCTTTGGAACCGAATGCTTGCTCTCGATTATACCCTTAGACTACCGGTGCGAAATACGGGCACCAAACTGCAGTCACCTGAAAAGCTGACGAAGAAAATCTGTGAATCACCTGTCTGACATTGAATATCTTTCCCTCGAAATATGGCAAGTTATCGATTCATTGCCAGGATAAAAGAATTTCACTGTTAGGATGTACAATGAATTAGGTGTACCTGCATCTAGCAGGGAGCTCAGTCAAGTCTAGAACACGTGCCAAAACATTGTGGATGAGACCGTGATCGTTCGGTTGTAGTTCTCGCCTATTCCAGTGGCGCCAACACCTGTGGAGATTGATGTGGCACAAACAAGCCTTCATAAATGGGTCACCCTGTAAGGTCAACTGTGGCGCAACATACTAAAGTGGAATTCTCTCCAGTTCTGATGATGATTTTTGGCCAAGCGGAAAAATGTAGTCATGATGGCGACCCGTGTGCGTGATTCTTATTGGTCTCCGATTTAAGGAAGCCGAGTCTGTCCGGGGAATTGAGTGAAAATACCAAAAGTCACGGATCTACTGTGAATATCGGTTTTTCTGCTCAAAGTGCCACAAAACCCGCTTCTATGGTTTTCGTGACATCTGCAAATGACACGACACTGTCTTTGAAATCTTAGGGACCGGGTATAGCATCGTCGTTATGTACATAGCCGTTCGCCACAGATAAATTAACATTGGCGTGAAAGAACTATTCCTCAGCGCAAGAGAGAGCCTACAGTGGCTGCAATAAAAGTCGTCCAGGTGTAGCACCCGTTCGGTGCCTAGCTTCCATGCCACCCGAAGAAAGCGCGAGAGATGAGATAGACTGTCCAATTCTAGACGGGCAGGCGAGATGCTGACGTCGGAATCAAAGCGCGAACCTACCGGTAAATAAGTTTGCACCCCAGCAATTGAGCTATCTCGAGCTCAGTGGACCCACATACCACATAGTCGACGTCCCGTAAAGTGTATCCATTCCATAGTCAAGGTCATAGTTAAGCTTTCATTCAGCGCCTGATTAAACAGTAGAAACTTATCTACCAGTTAGATATAGGACCCTGCATAGCGATGTACCTTTTTCGACACTAAGTAAATAGTATATGTAGTTCCGAGACGGACGGTAAATCGAAAGTTAACATTTCGTTTCGTTTCGACTAAAATCAGTACAAAAAAATGTTCAGCTGTAGCCCCTTACGGTGCCTAGCTGCCACGCCACCCGAAGAAAGCACGAGGGCTGGGATACTGCCAGGTTGCCCAAGCCTAAACAGGGGAAGTCGAGTGGCGGAGGTCGGATTCGAACCACGAACCTTCCGGTCAGTAAATTAGCGCTCTAACCACTTGGGCCATCTCGCCCAAAATCAGCACAAATGGCTCGATATTAATTAGTAAAGCTTCCTTTAAAGAGGTCAAGCATGCGAAGTTGTCGAACAAACATCGGTTACAAATCGACAGCGCTGACCGCTGTTGTCCATAATGGGGTAGAGAAACTTGTCGCCGTTTTAGCGCTAGGTGCAGCTAGTCAAATTCCAGCCCAGTCAGCTGTGCCCCGAATTGTGGTGTCCGGAACGTTTCGGACTCGAGATTCACGAAATGCTCACTGGTGATGACGAGGTCCAATGAAGTGGAGACAACTGTCCAGTGTTTCTCGGTATCTAGACAGAAACTGATTCCACCCGAAGTAAATCTTCAACATAAGATGTATGAAAATCACCATGATTTCGTTGACTCAAACACGGTGCCTCAATGAGAGCGTGTTTAAAACTTGTTCTGAAAAACAACTCAGCACCAGGATGGAGTGAGTAAGTTTAAGTACAAGGTCTTGGGAATAACGTGACGAGAGGCTGAACAACGAAAAGTTCTGCAATACGATCATGTGCCTGCGCACACGATTCCTCAAGGTCAGCAGGATGTTCGCTTTACCAAATTACAGTGACCCGTCCTAATACGACCAAACTGGTCTAACTCACTTTACGAAGTAATAGGAAAAAAGCCCAGAATAACAAACACACAGGGTGAATGCTACTAATGAAAGGAAGAAGGCCCTCGCTGCGGAGTTATTTATTAGAAAATGCCAACTGACCAGTTACAGACTATTGGACAGGGAAGCAAAACTCCCATTTGCATACTGAAAATCCATCTTCTCTTGAACGCGTCTTCCTGAACTTTCCTGGATATTCATTGACCGTTGCTCAAACCCAAGCAAATGCTACAAAGCGACTCGACAAATCCCGCAATAGATCTCCCTTTTCAAGGGACGCAAAGTGAATTTACAGGAAAACATACTACCCGCATGCCTCCCCATTAGTAGTATCCCTGTTGCAGCAGTTTCGCCCATTTTGTTTACGGGTTAGGTGTGAGGGAAATCTTTAGAAAGCCAAAAGCATCGAGAGGAACACTACCACACCACATTCTACTCAACCGGAGCTCCAGTTATGCCGTACAGAAGGCGTTTTTAGCTACTGTTCGGAAGTCCGCTGTTTTGGGGCACCACCGCACCGGAATCGAAAACATAATGGATGAAGCCGCAGCATACCAAAGGTCGTTAGCGCATTTCGATGACGCCGGGCAGATTATCACTTGAACGGAATGCGCAGACATGCGACCAGCGGAGCCACAACGGTAAGGGTCGGGTGATCAGCTGATTAAAAAAAGACTCATTCCAGTTCAACTGGACAGGAAAAAACAATCCAGTCGGCTGGTCGATTAATGGTTGCCAAACAAGTCACTCGTAGCACAGCAAGACAGAACAATCACCGTGTCCCGCCCATCCTACAACTCAAAAGGCTCTGTTCGGAAGAGGCCCAATCATGAATGTGCATGAGCTGTAAATATCGTGCAAGAAAAAAATAATTTCCCTGTCTAGCTACACAGTAACATGAACGGCACATCAAATGTTATTCTTGAGCATTCCCGTACACATGATGACGAAATTTGGCATGATGAGAACTGTTGGCGCTACATACGGCTAAGACAATTCTTCGATCCGCAGTGATCCCAATTACATGTGTACCAGCTTTTTTCAATGCCCAAGTAGTTTTCGTCTGTATCTACTCGCTCCTGATCGATTTATCGATCTACATAGTGGTGAAATAGATGATGTGGACGAAATTCATCGTAGCCGTCCCACCAACCAGCGTAAGGATTAATCGGTGGATTCGTATGGATCCATCGATTAATCAAATTCGTCCGATCGCTTGTGAATAAGATATCCAATTCAAAACTCCTTTTACAAAGTGACGTGTGACGACGTTAGCTAGCCTACTAGTGTTACGTAGATTATGCAAACTAGCGAGCAGATACTGTAGACGGAGGAACGCTGGTTTTTTTTCGGCTAAACAGCTCACTAGCCCGCTTGTTCGAACACATCCGTTGATACACACGGCGAGGCCGCGCGCCAGATCGAATATTGAAAGACTGTTGTAGCATGGTGTACGAACTAGTATCCAACATAGTTTTTTGGGGAGTGAGTCGAGAGGCCCAAGTAGGTAGACCGCGAAGTGTTAGGCGGAATTCCACACGGATCCCCCTTTACCGCTCGCAGTCAGTTGCTGCTGCGGCCGAGAAGTCCATCCCGCGCAAGACTGGCCAGAAATCTGAGACGCGGAGGGCTGATTGGTCGAAAGTCTGGACCCAACAGCCAACCATGACCCAGTATTCGCCGAGTGCCGGTTGCCAGTGGCGCATCCAGAACGCGTCGGAATTTCCGGAAAATTATTTCCGCTTACGCTGTATAGATGAAGCGCTGGACGAGTGTTCCTGACTTCGTTTGGACGTCAATATACCATGTGCACCCGTGGTAGCTGTTTTGATGTGAACGCTAGCTTGGGAGGCTCAGGCCAAGAACTAAGCTGAGAAAAGTACCGTTACTACAGGAAGGTCCGTGGTTCGAACCCGACATGTGCCTCTCCACTTCCCCTGTCTAGGCCAGGGCAACCTGGCAGTATCCCATCCCTCGTGCAACCTTCGGGTGACAGGGCAGGCAGGCACCGAAAGGGTGCTACAACTGAACGATTTCTTTCTTTCCAACGTAGTTTGCTGGGATTGATTGAAAAGGCGTAAGCGCACGCCACAGTTGGTGTTACACCAGCATAATTTAACACCGGCTGAGGCTTTGTTTACGGTTAAGCGGAGTTCAGCATACCAAGGAGAGTTGACCAATGTATCGGTCCAACATGACCGAATCAATAAGGAATTCGAATCGGACAATCCCTAGTTTGAACTTTTCACGTCCCTCGCGCACGCTATTTACGCTAAAGACCGATTCTGAGATGAAGACTCAGTAATCGACACACCAACTTCGATGATCCTGCCCATCAGGGTGATCATGAGAGTCCTTCTCATATGGAGTCTCGGGAATGCGACAGAGCACCATTCCGAGGAAATGAATCTATCGCAGTTTTGCAAAATTGGCCGTGTTAGGTGGGAATCCGTAGGCCACTGATGTTCTTCTGCTGAAGGTTTGGAAGATGAAAAGGATATAGCATAGACGTAATATACTACTCATAGGGTTGCTGAAAATGGTATAGTTCGGAGCGACCGAAACACAGGTCCGAATCTGGGCGGGGCACATGTCAGGCTTTGCGGTGCAGGGTGGACAACTGGACAGACACACTTGAGCATGTTACGAAAACTGAAGAATGTAGAAAATCTTGTATAACCTCGTGAAATAAATTTGGTGGAATGAAATAGTGCCCTAGGCTCGAGGATCAGAAGCTTCCATTGACACTGTTTTGTTGATACTGAAAAAAATATTTTTTAAAAATCTCAGCTGTAGCACTTCCTCAGTGCCTAATTGCCGTGGGATATTGCCAGCGTAGACAGGGGGGAAATAGAGAGAGGGTTCGAAACACGGACATTCCGATCAGTAAATTCGCGCTCTAACCATTCAGCCTTCTCGCCCTTCGTTGATACTGACCACAACCACCAACCCATCGCCACGCACCGCTACACTCCCCAACAACGCACTGATGATGTCACCTCGATTGATGATGAAACGACTGCAATCAAATTGCTCAGCTCAGCCACCATACGGACTTCAGTTTGGACCAAAATACGGAGCAAGCAGTGCACCGAACCAGCAAACAGTCCAATTATTTTCTGATAGTGTTTCCTCTTGTACTTGGGGAAAACTTTGAAACACGAGCCCGTATAAACGAATGTGAACTTCCGAGGAATATGTCCAACAGGGAGCATGAGAGAAACATGACGTAACTGCGTCCGACAAACAATAACCTTGTGAGGATCCTACAAATTGTGAAGTAGCCCTTTCAAAAGCCAAAACACCATGTCCATCGCCTCAACGTTTTCAAAGGTAATCAATTACGGATAACTGGCTACAGTTTCATAATGAAAATAATTCACTTAAAGTGCATTGGAAAAGATTCTACAGAGGCCTTTCGGATTGAGATGGACCACCAAAAATGTCATGTGACGTGTCACGCGGTCCGGGATTATGAGAGCACCCATATTCACGCATGCAGCTACATGTACGACAAAAAATCAAGTTTTTATAGGCAACAAGTTGAGACACGACCGCGTCACACATACACCGAGAGCATCCTGGGCTTGATTTGGCCAAGCGAAGCCCGTGGGTTTAGGTGCGTCCAGCTGTCCTGTTCCCATGACCTACATTATCTGAGAAGAGTAGCCCGTGTGACGCACTGTGTCCTATGTACACAGTGGCACCTTCGTTCTTGAAATCATCTATTTACAGGGGAGATTGACGCTCATACTTAAATGCCTCCCGCTGACCCATGGATAGGGTCCGGTCAATCCGCCCGCCGAGATGCTATTGAAGGCGACTGTTCGCCAAACCAGCTGTTCTGCAACCCAGGAAATACCAACAGCTCGTCCATCCAATGCAAGTCAGCTCGGCCGAAAATCACCCGACATAACCGATCTGGAGTGCGATAACGACGCTAGGCACCATTCGCAGCAGCCACAATTTGGATTGAGGTTGCAGTCATTGACAAGCTGGTGTCACATGACAACAGCGACCTCAAAAAACAAGCACGTGATGCGGGATGGTACAACCGTCGAAATTTGCTAACCAATAACGGTAAAGCTTGGAACTTACGATCGCGTTTCCAGCTTGAATACGTGTACCGTCTCTGTGTGACTAGCTGCCACGAGAAATTGATTATTGAGGCTGAACGACAAGCAGCAAATTGAAACACACCTAAGGGAAGGGGAAACGAAGACAGTGGTAAATGAGCGAGGAGTCAGTTAGAAGTGGCATGACATGGAACCAGAATGCAATATTGGTATACAGACATAACCGATTACTCATTAAGTTGGTGCAAACTCTTTCCGAGCCCACGATCGGTTACGCCATTCCACTTTGGGTGGGCGCACTCCTCGAGTTTCCGCCAATCTTATGTTCTAACTGCTATGCCATCAGAAGCAAGCACGAGGGCTGGGATACTGCCAGATTGCCCAAGCTTAGACGGGAGAGGCACAGGCCGTGTTCGAACCGCGAACCTTCCCGTCAGTGAATTCGCGCTCTAACCACTGAGTCATCTCACTCCACTCCAGCTTATGTTCTCATTGAACCCATAGTGGTGTTTTCAGCAGAATCGCAAAGTTTTTGGTGAATCTATTCTTTCCCTCTGTTTCCAAACTAATAAGCATCAATCAGAATGATTAGAATGTAAGGAGACGGGACCTCCACCAAGTCATGTGCTGTTTGAATGTACGGGGAAGAGGGTGCTCGAAATTGTGAACTTCTCAGCCTGTGCCTGTCTAGCCTTTTTGGATCTATCTGGGAGAAAGAGACCGTCCCGGACAAGTGGGGTGGATCGATAGTAGTGCCCCTTTTCAAAAAGGGTACTCGCAGTGAATGTAGTAACCACAAAGGTGTCAGTCTGACTCCTGTTTTGACCAGGCTTCCGGCGTCACTGATTCTCCGTCGTCTTACGGTGGCACGTGAACCCTTGACTCGTGAGAATCAAGCGGGATTTCGACCGGGTAGAGGCTGCGTTGATCACATCTTCACACTCCGTCAGGTGTTAGAGCAACACCAAATGTACAGACGACATACAATCTTGGTATTCCTTGACTTCAAGGGTGCGTTCGATTCTGTCGATCGGTCAGTTCACTACACTTGCTCAATAGGGTGTGCCCCAGAAGTTTGTGAACACAATCCCATCCCTATATTCCCATACTTCTGGGCGGATGAGTGTATGGTGAGCTCTCCAAAAGTTGCTCGACAAAAAGTAGTGTCTGAGAAAGATGTCCACTCTATCCATTCCTGTTCAACTTCATCATTAATGAAATACTGATGCGAACGCTGGAAGGTCTTCAAAACTCCGGTGTTCAAATTGTTGCTGGTGAGAGCCTTGTCGATTTGGAGTACGCAGATGACATAGTCCTCATCTTAGAAGATCAAAGTGAAGCACAGACCCTTTTGAATAGACTGACCACCATCATATCATCTTCCGGAATGTGCTTAGCACTTTCAAAGTGCGAAGTCATGCCTCAGAACGGGCAGTCTGCGAATATACCCCTGGAGGTTGTGGAAAACCTTACATATCTCGGTAGTTGTATTAGCTCTGACGGAAGTGTGTCAGATGAAGTCAGTGCAAGAATCTCAAAGGTTCGAATCACGTTTGCTAATTTGCGTCACTTGAAGCGTCAAAAGGCATCTCACTAAATCTTAAAGGTCGTGCGTACCAGGCTACAGTAAGGTCTGTGTTGTTGTATGGGTGCGAGACATGGCCTCTGTGGACAGATGATGAGGCGTCTTCAGGTTTTTGACCTCCGATACCTCAGAAGTGTGGCTGGTTTGGGATGGCGTCAGCGTGTTAGTAACGAGGTGATTAGAAAACGGGTATTTGGTTGCGCGGCAGGTACTTCAATCAGCATCAGCGACTACGATGGCAAGGTCATGTGCTACGCATGCCGAAACACCATCTACCGAGACGAGTGTTGTTCTCCGTGCCTCCTTCAGAATGGCGCAAACCGCGAGGTGGACAGCGCATGCCTTGGGAGTGACCCCTTCCGTGCTTAGCTGGAGACGTTGCAAGAAATGGCAGCTAATCGATGTCAATCACGTCCGTGCTGTCAGTTTCTCTCCAGATTGTCTGATTGAGCGGTTAGAGGTGTAGGCAACTTAGAATGCTTGACATAGGCCAGAACGAGGTCCTCTCCCTCACGCAGTCTTGCTTCTTTTCACTCTAGGGCTTTAAATATAATTAGACGAACCTTATGGTTGTATGGCAGTGGAGCATCAGTGTCAACACTGATGTTGCTGTCTTTGATGATGATGTTGCCCCCTCAGAATGAACCTGTCCTCAATCGAAAATTCATTGTCGGGATAAGGGGTAAGAAGAACACGTATGAAGTGAAAGATGTTCATGGAAAATTGAAATAACTGTCAGTAAAACCGAAGCACAAATCGCTGACCTCCTCAGGAAGATCAAGGAAATTTCGATACTGTCCATCTTTTCACAAATGTACCGGCATCCGTGAGTTCTCGCCTCATCCTTGAGCGGCTGTAGGAAGATAATGTTCTAGGGAATGGCACTGTTCCTACAATGGATGGTGTTCGTGCGTGCGTGATCTGTAGATTTCATGTTCACATCAATCTCGTGTGGACAGTCTTCCTCCTGTTCTGCGACAATCTGGCAAGTGCACACCAAGGAGAAGCTCCCGTTAGGGCAAATCAGCAGTTCACACTCTTGACTGTGCCGGTATTTGAACTGTGAATGTCTGACATGAGAAGCTAATGTGGTCGAACCGCTCCACCGGCGCACGCGCGGCTGAGTTGTCACGCATGAGCTATGTGTGGACTCACCAGAATAACTGCGCCAAGAGAGAACAATAAACTCTTCAAACGAGAGTGAACAGTAACCCTAAGCTGAACCTGACCAACAAGTGGCAGGATGCGTGATGGAGCCACTGAACTCCTCGACCGGAGAAAATATTTTCACACTTTGGAGGAAAAATGCTGGTGAACCTTGGTAGATAGTGGTGGCGGCATGCCGATGGGAACAAAACGACAATGAATTCGTCAGGCGGGGCCCGGACTGGAAAAAGTTACATGCGGAGAGTGACGCATCCCCAAGGTCACCATCGGTACGACACGTCCGGAAGGCAGGTGCGTTGGCGGAGCTCACCAAACACGGCTTAGCAAACATAAGACCAGTGGAGAGGGGCCTGAAAGTGTTCACGACCTGAACACCGCCATTGGCTGTACAAAAAGAACGAGTGAACGACCATATTTGGCCATTTAGTCATCCTATATATTTACGCAGAAGCTCTGTAAGTTTCGCCCCGACAACACAGCCGTGTCGCGAGTCCTCTGTCTTCTACTAATCGCGTAGTCTGGCAGGCTCAGTGCAGGCGTAACCCAATAGACGGCCACCCACGATACAACAGAATTCCATCATTATCTCTATGTGTCTCACCCCAGTAGTAAGTGCTCCATGAAAAAGGAAACGGTGCTGCGATGGTTCTGAGGCCCGAAAATCACAATATTGACACAGAAGTTCACCGAAAACACTTTCGGTGCTTCACACCCAGCGCGAATGCGTGTGTGTGTGTGTGTGTATTAAGCAGATAGCAGTCATTCGGAATAGCGATTATGCTGATTAATACTTCCCATGAGAAAGAGAGGGAAAGTCGATTGGAAAACGCTTGGAACCGATCGATACCTCGGTGTATCGGAAATCTATCGATCGCTTTCTCAAACCTTTCTGAACGGGAGAAACATGGCCGCTTCATACCCTGAACTGAGCCAAAAAAGCACATTGGTTAAAACTCGTTCCGACGATCAATACGTCCTATCGAACAAATCTCGAGCCTTCTAAGCTACCAGAACTCTGTCAACCTGAAGGATTCGCTATCGTTCTTGGAACAATGCGCCGCCGTTCAGCTGTAGCACCCTTTCGGTGTCTAACTGCCACGCCACCCGAAGGTTGCACGAGGGCTGGGATACTGCCAGGTCGCCCAAGCCTAGACAGGAGAAGTCAGGTGGCAGAGGTCGGGTTCGAACCACAGACCTTCCGGTCAGTGAATTCGCGCTCTAACCACTTGGGACATCTCGCCCCCATGCGCGATACATTGTTGGACATCAACATCGTCATCATCATCACCATTGACAGCAACACCAGATGAGAACACTGGCGCTTCACTACCATACAAATGAGTGAATTTATTGGACGAAAATGAACAGAAATGTCCGTTTAAGAAACACCCTGTGGGCCAAATTGACTTGGAGGAGCCGCAATTGCTGCACCTTCAAGAGCAGATTGAATTTTTTCGAACTCAGCTGTGCTTTCAACACCGTAAGACTGTTTCATGGTTCGAGCAAAATTCAAGCATATTAAACAGATTGGAAGGGGCAGAGTTACCAAGGGCCTAGCAAGACTCATTCACTCACTAGGTCATTCAACCTACCAAGCGAATGAGGGAAATTTTGTCTAGCTAACCCGAGAACACCCAAGCTGACAGACTATTCCACTACACACAGTCACATTCAATAAAAACGCGACAATATCAGTCGCAACTTTGGCCTTAAGTGACCCCTCCTTTTTTCCGTTGACCTTGAGGTAGCTGTTCCAGCCCAAGCGAAGAAAAAAACTTTTCCCATATGTGTCCTTATTCGTCACACCTTCAGTTCCGTGTTGATGTATGAGACAGGCTCTCCGAGCAAATCGAAACTTCGCGAAGTGAAGCGGATTTTTTTTAATTTTGTGAGCGGTTAAGACAAGCAATTTGATTCAATGCAGGTGACCAGAACACACACACACACACACACACTAGGTCCATCCATGAGTCCATGACTTCCTCCAGATGAACTGGTTTCCTCTCATTTAGGACATGTAGATACGTGGTGATTTTCAGTGTCTAGTTGCCGTTGGTTCTCCGGTTGGCGGCGATCTGGTGGGTGACTGGGGGTGTCGAATTAGAATGGTTACCTTATTGGGCTTTCGTTGCTTTGTGATCGTGTGGTGGATCGACGTGAGCTGAGCTGACTGCAAAACCCGTGTACAGCAGCCGACGCATGATAGGACGACCTCAGATCCCGTTCGAGTGCATCGTCTACCACTGGCTGCTGAATCGAAGAATAGTAAAGTCATGCACCCCGGATGTACCATCTATGAAGACTCTCCGTTCAACTGCAAGAGACTCTGGAGACCGACTGAAGCCAAGGCCGGGATCATGATGGCTCTAACTGTGTTCATTTGAACATTAACACAATATGCATCCCAGTTCGAAGGGTAGTGTGGACCAGGTTAGCGCCAAACAGGGGCTCTTTAGGCAAAGGAATCAGGACGTTTTCGGTTCTTCTACAAACAGCGCCCCTGAAACAAGGTTCGTGTAAGTACGCAACAGGAAATTCAGATGAGTTTGAAATCCGAAACTGTAAGAATTTTTGATGTAAGATACGACTACTAGCCGATCTCAATGGTGCGCTCAAGTTACCAACTTCCATCTAGAGTCACATTAGACCTTCGGTTGCGTTGAGGTTTTGTTCAAACAGTGCAACGGGGTTGTATGATCGGTGTTGAAATTATAATCATAACGGTAAACACATTTAAGCGAGACCTGGTCCAGTCGCGCCCTCAATGGCGCTCGTTCATCAAAGCTATTGCCTTCCCAATCTCCCCGTTTGACAGCCCATTGACAGTGCTGGAGTTATGCACCAATATATCAGCTCCCGCCTCCAATGCGCAGCTACCTATCCCCCCCCCCCCAATCATCGGTGAACGAAACTGCGGCAGTTACAACCACCGTACGACGAGTACGCGGTTATTACAGCTGACAATGGTGATGAAGCGAGACCGACTCCCTGGGAGAGCTGAGATGTAAACCATTTGATACTCTCCAGGCTCCGGATATCCATTTCACAATACCATTACCGCATTAGCTTGTATGGACAGTTGAAGCGTATACGTACAGTCATTTCTATCCGGAGAAAAAACTTTTAGGACGTCAACAAATCGGTCCTCTGAGAGGTGTTTCAATGGTACACCACCTCTGAAAAGAAACGATCTTTGGCCGGGTCTTGGCACTTGTCTCTTCAGAAGTGGGAAACTATGGGAACGAATAGTGGGTAGCGTCCGTGACCTCAAAAATACTCATAAATCATTCAGCTGTAGCACTCTTTCTAAGCCTAACTGCCATGCCACCCGAAGGTTGCATGAGGACTGGGACCCTGCCAGGTTGCCCAAGCCTAAACAGGGGAATTCGAGAGACAGAGGTTGGGTTCGGACCACAGACCTTCCGGTCAGTAAATTCGCGCTCTAACCACTTGGACCACCTCGCCCCAAAATACTCACGAATTGAAGTAGGACCAAAAAGCCCGAAGATTTTCGGATCGAACTTAACTATGACATGCTGATCACTGGGTTCGGACAACTCGGTAGAATTTTAGACTTGGTGTGGAGATTTGGCTGCTTCGTTCACGGAGCCGATTTACCCCTTCACGGGAAAGAAAAATAACGAAAGTAAGCACTCAAATGAAGACAGACAGGTTAACCGACTTTCAGCTCAGAGAACTTGTTTATTTATTTAGTTAGTTGGCTCCGGTTAACAAAGAATTCTTTGTGCAAACTCTTTCCTACAGGGTGAAGCATTCCGGACTAACCTGCTCAGTCCTCGGCGGAATTCCATCAAACGATCCCCCTGAGGTATGGAAAACACACGAATGATCGTGCCTTTCTCCGATGCCGTGGCCAACAAATCACCTGCAGCATTGAAAGCTAAGGCTGCCAGAAGACCATCGTGAGCCGAAATCGAAGTCACATTCTACAAAACAAGGAGATGATTACTAGAAAACGAATGGAGTCGGTGGTCGAAATCGAAGTCACATTCTACAAAACAAGATGATTACTGGAAAACGAATGGAGTCGGTGGAAACGGTAGAAAAACGATGTCAGTAAAATGTGAATGAATGTTGTTCCATTCCTGTGGAAGAACGCTACGTTTAAGGGTGTTGGAAGTCAGATTATGTGGCCAACCATCCACAAATGGATAACGGTTAAGGGAGCCGTTATTGGTGAGGTCTAACTGCTCACCTACGCGGGTATTCCTGTCTTGAGTTGGAGTTACCAGGCAAAGCATGGATCAAGTAGTTTATCGTCTGACCTGCCGCGGCAGGCAGGTACAGTCAACAGTAGCTGATCGTCGAGTGAAACACATCTGCGAATATGCCAGGTGGGATCCTTCAGCCTTGTTGCAAATAATTCCGGAATTACAATGATCAACTAACTTACATCGCATGTGATCGGCCGGATGTCGGAGGTCGAGATCAAGGCGAAATCGATTTGAGTTCAATAGTCAGCCATATCCACGAATCCGTCTCACGTTACATTCTGATAACGTGCCCAAAGACAGACTGAATATCTAGAACGTTAGCAGTGCATGCGCTGTGCAAATGCTATGTTCGTATGCATTCTTTCATTTGCTCTGGACACTTGGTGTGCCCTAGGTGGTTGTTCCACTGTGACCGACAGAACGAGAGACGAGGTGGACAATTGAGAAGAGGTCCGGTCATTAGCTGAGAATCACCTTAACTATCTGTCGGATTGCACGAATCTTAGTGCAGCTCGGTTAACCAGACAATGCAGAGGTCTTGACAGGAAACGAGTATCCTGTGAACATGTGCAAGGCCAATCATTATCACCGATGACGGCAATATACCGGTAATACATCCTGGTGCCATGCAACCGCCATGCAAGCACTAGCGAGAAAAGCCTTAGTGAAGAGTGGAAACAACAGGGAAGGCGAAAGAAAGAAAGCGTTCAGCTGTAGCACCCTTCCGGTGCCTAACTGCCATGCCACCCGAAGGAAGCACGAGGGCTAGGATACTGCCAGGTTGCCCAAGCCTAGACAGGGGAAGTCGAGTGGCGGAGGTCGGATTCGAACCACGAACCTTCCGGTCAGTAACTTCGCGCTCTAACCACTTGGGCCATCTCGCCCAAGGCCAAGGACTTAGTGAGGACAAGCTTTATGTTCCCATGTGCTCCAGCAAGGCCTACCGATGACCCGTCAACAGGAATATTTCGCCGGACAAACACTTTCACTTTCTCCCATGGGGAAACATTGCCAAGAAAACCCAGTAACCAGAATCCTCCCATCGCGTGCCACAGAAGCGAAATGTCCCCTAAGAGCGGTTTGAAACTTGGGGCTAAACCAGTTCCACACCTACTTGTATGCACCCATATCGATGCAGCTGGAAACGTCTCACCGATTGAGACCATCAACCGTTTATGGATCTGAACAAAGAGCCTGAACATCGGACCCTTTCACGGTTCAGGTTCTCCCCAGCGAATCTCCTGAGGAGAACGATTCTGTGGCAGAAAAACGGCCAAAATACAATAGCCAAAAACACAGACTATTTAGATTTATAGACACAGGGATGATGATAACTGACATTGTTAGGCGGAATTCCACACGGATCCCTCTTTACCGCTCGCACTCGTGCTGCTACGACCGAGAAGTCCATCCCGCGCAAGATTGGCCGAGAATTCGGGACGCTTGCCGGTCTGGCATCAAGGCGAGATCCGATTGATCGAAAGTCTGGACTCAACAGCCAATCATGACCCAGTATGGGCCAAATGCCGATTGCCAATGGCGCATCCAGAACGCGTCAGAAATTCCTGAAAGTTATAACCGCCTACGCTATATATACGAAGCGTTGTACAACTGTTCCTGACTTCGTTTGGGGCATTAATATACTTTGTGCACCTTTGGTGGTTGTTTTTGACGTAAACGCTAGCTTGGGAGGCTCAGACCGAGAACTAAGCTGAGAGAAATACCATTACTACAGACATGAACATAGTTAATCAATCGGTCCAACTTACGCGGAAGTTCATCGCATCAAAGATATACACTGTGCCAACGCGATGCGAGCCCGGATAGGCCAGGTAACAATTATCTTCAGCCGATGACAGAGCAATTACGCCATTGCGGTTCGGTGGGGTCTCCTCCACTCGGTGGAGCATCTGCATGTCACGAAGGTTGTGAATGAATATTCCGTCTTCAACGCAAACCACGAGACGCTGAAACAAAGATTTAGAGTTTGTAAGACTTTCTTTCCTCATGATTGCACGGCAGTTAAAAACCAGCATGTTACTGATTTAGTTGTGTCAGTCCTAAGAGGAATTTCATGCGGCCAACGAGGTTAACACCAGTTGCAGGATGAAGGGAAAGCGCTCCGCTGGAAATTATTCATACCGTGAGGCATGCGTAAACTCTTCTGGTCACATAAGGTGAGTTGCACAGCCCTCAACTGGACTGCAACATGCAAGTTGACGGTTGTGAGATTCGCGTTACGGAAGGTTTGTTTGTAATAAGAACTGAATGAAATTTCGTTCGTAAAAATCAACTATCTTCCGGAGTGGGAGACACAACACTCAATTGGTGAACGTTGGAAATGTGCTTATTGTTTAATTCTTTAATTGTCCGACATGCAGCTGTAATTCAGGGGACAAGAGGAAGTAGTTCCGACCTCTGCCTCTTGACTCCCCCTTGTCAGGCCGGGGCGCCTTCGTGCAACCTTCGGGTGGCATGGAAGTTAGGCACTGAAACGGTGCTACAGTTGAACGAACAGTTCCATTTTTCAGAGTCTTGGGTTCATTGACAATGGGGGACTGCTATTAACCGGAACCGAAAGCCTGCGAAAGTTCAGCATAGATAGTGCGACACAGCAGCGTAACCTGTAGAGCCGGACCAACTCTCGAAGACAATGCAATGGGGCAATGCTTTGAACACATCCGTCAAGACCTAAAGCCCAGCGGCGTGGGACTCACGGGTCACTGTGGACAATATCAAGGAAAAACAACATATGTGGAGAAGCGACCTGAATAACTGTAAACAGACCGTCTACATGCGCATACAACTTCCTGACAACCGAAACCTCACTAGCTAACTTCTAAGGCAAAGACAACAAGGGATGTGCCAAGCTAGCTAGGCTAGCTTCATCTGTCCTAGAAACGCAGGATAACCTGCTGCTAAAGATGTGCAAAGTATGTCCCACCAAATGTTGGATTATCCGGAACAAAACAAGAAATGGGTCACAAGTCACGTTATCAAACCCGGTTGTACAACCTTAGTTTCACTCAGGCAGAGAATATACACCAAGTTTTTTTGACAGTCATCCTTATTTATCGGCAAACAGTGGACTACCAACAAATAAGCGATGACACATGCATTCAGGAAACATGTATCTCGCACCCACTGCCATATGGCAGACATGATAAGCAGGCGATTCACCCTACCTAGTAAGCAAATTACATACATTGCTTTGCCGGACTGTTTCGGGTGCTAGGTCAAGCTGGACGGATGGATGATCCATGGCTTGTTGATATTATGGAACCAATCTATGGACACACACCAGCCAACCATCCGTAGAAAAAGAATCGTTCAGCTGTAGCGCCCTTTCGGTGCTTGGCTGCCATGCCACCCGACGGTNCTGCCAAGTTGCCCAAGGCTAGACAAGGGAAGTCGAGAGGCAGAGGTCGGGTGCGAACCTTCCGGTCAGTTCGCTCGCGCTCTAACCACTTGAGCCATCTCGACCATTTGAGGATGAGGTTTTGTAAAGATGATAGTCCGAATACTGTCCAACTTTCACCCATGTTGGTACCTCCAGTCGTTGGACAAGTGACTGCGACCCCCAAATAACATGAGCTCGTCAATATCGAACCAACCACGTGACACGATCTGTGCGAATAAAGAACCAGGGGCGATATATTATGTCTAGGTTCCAGCTGACCAGCCACACGCAGATGAATGGCAGGCTGTGGATTATAATCAACCCCAGAGATTCACTTCACTTGCAGGACGAACTCCGGGGTTAAAAACTTTGAAATCTTTACATAACATACAAGATTAGGATGGAATGGTCGATCACAAACGCACTGCATTGCCAGTCAGTGTCAACCGAAACACATTTATGATGGTCAACTGGTAGTGCTGTAATTGCACTGAAAGCCGGGGACCTGGTTACCAACCGCAAATTCGTGGGGATGTCCAGTCGAGAATCGCTTCATAGATCCGACAACCATCGTTGTAGTGTGGGACGAAAATTCCCATCAGATTCAAGACGTTGCGCAAACTTCGCTTTATGAAAACACTACAGTAGAACGCTGCTCGACAGAGAGGTGAAGTCAGGAGCCTTGCTCTACAGAAATTGCTGTATGTGTGAACTACGCAGTTTGACTAAATATTTTCGCACATTCAACTAATCAGCAAAGTCTTTAGAAAGTTAGTTGCTGTAATCCAGAAGATCGCACCAAAGCGGACTGCAATCACTAGTATACCGCTGATCAGTAGGCAAAGTAGACTGTGGTCGCTGGTCGTTTCTGGTTGGACTAAAGATTCTAGGAACGTTTTGTCAACGGTTCCATTCCGTTATTATCTCATTATTCCCACTAGAAGCAGATGGTTTTGCGAAGACAAGTGATCTGCTGGAACGCCCAACTTTCGTACTAGGAAGCTTATTTTAATCTTGATAAACCAGCAGAGTGCACATATTGGATCAGTACAAATACAGAAAGTGATGTGCCACGTGATTCATTCTCTACACACAACTCGGTTCTTCACATGGAAGTGGTGTTAGATTTCGCCTGGACAATGTTGATGACGTCGTCCCAAATAAGGATGCAATCACATTTGTTCGCCAAACAGACTCCATTCAGACACTATTTTGTACAGTTTGACCTCCCACAGCCCACAGGAGCTAGAGATACCTCAACAGTTAAGGCGCGACACTGCAGACCTCAAAAATCCGTAGTTTCAATCAAACACTCTCTAGGTTTGGACGAACTGGCCTGGCCCTCGTGAATCATCCGAGTTGCACACCAGCTGTATGCACCGGAGTGCCACAGTTGAACCTTTTATACTGCCCACAAGAGTTCGATCGACCACACTAAGTCATCGGTCGAATCCCGCCGCAGGCCAAGGTTTCACCAACCGCGGCGCTCTCATCAGATGAACAAACGAAACTTCAGCTCATGCATGTTACTCCACCACCTACAAAGTAGAACAGAAAGGCGCCTTTCTATACGCTGTCTAGGACCACTGACACAACCCACTACATATGTAATAGGATAGCTGAGCATCGATTGTACCAGAAGATTAGATGTGTTTCGGATTGTCAACAGCTTGTGTATTGGGGGTGTCTCACCCCCAACCCCTCATAGTGCGAGGTGGATCACGTATGACTTGGGATAGGGCTGTGAAAGAGATGACGAACAGTTTGAGTGTCGTTCATGCAGTGCGCCCTCCAAGATGGGGTCCCCGTGGCCTCTTCTGCGCTTGGCTGGAGACATTGCAAGTAACGACGGCTGATCGATATCGGCGGCGTCCGTGTCGTCGGTTTCCTTCCAGATTGTCTTACTGAGCACTTGGAGGTGTAGGAACCTCAGAATGCTTGCACTAGGTCAGCACCAGGTCCCCTTTCTCACCAAAAATTTTTTCTCCTCTTTTCGTTCTCGAGGTTTTAAATATAGTTAGATAAACTTTATGGTTGTACGGCAATGAAGAACTAAGGTTGCTATCTCTGATGATGACGATGAAAGGCATACATATAGAACATTATACATCATCTCATATAGTTTCCAGTTTCGCACACTTCATTCCCCTAAACATTCGTAGCCTCCCCTGTAACACTGTTCTTATAAGCATTTCGTGTTGTTTGGTAATGCTGACGTGCCAGGAACGCCTAAGACCAAATTCATCCAATTGATGGAAACATCAGATCGATTTCCTGTTCAGGAGAAGTCATTCAAGGAACTGGAAGGTCGATAAAGAACTTTATGCGGAGCCAGGATTAAAAAGCTGGACGAAAAAAGAAGCGAGAAGTGTGTAATCTCATTACAAGCATAGACACTTATCAGCGGTGGATATAAACAATATAAATTGTCCCGCATTTCCCTGATGATCTAGAAAGGTCTGTTTATCTGCACAACCTAGCCGTCATACAATGCGTGGGGCGAAATGGCTCAATGGGTTAGAGCGTGAAGTTACTGACCGGAAGGTGCGTGGTTCGAACCCGACCTCTGCCTCTCGAATTCCCCTGTCTAAGCTTGCGCAACCTGTCAGTATCCCAGCCCTTCGGGGGGCACGGTAGCTAGACACCGGAACGGTGCTACAGCTGAACGATTTTCGATTTATACACGGGAACACGACCAAAACAAGTAAGTAAATTAAACTCACATGCTGGTTCAATTTCACTGCCAAAATTGTGAGTGTATATCGGTAGTGGCATATCAGCGTGTTGATTCGTGAATGCGACACCAACAGTTTGCGCATATCGTTTTGTGAGACCAGAGTCACCAGACTCCGATCGAAAAGTCGACCAACGATACATATGGGATCCCCGGCTAAAAAAATGGGCAAAGCGATCAGAAACGATTACTCGACGAAACGCTTACTCGTGGAAAATGTCTCGGTAACTTGATCGCCCAAAGTGGACAGCAGACTGTAGCCGCATTTGCTGCCTACGAGGATGGAGCTGTGTGGGATGAGGGAAGAATAAAACAGATAAGATGAGACGTGGATGGAGCGGACGCTGGCAGTCAACCAAGCAGTCGATCGATCGACAGCAACAGAGGAATAATCGCATGTGGAAAAAAGAGCAAACAAGTTACTGGAGTGAACCAATAATCGTAAATAATGAAAAATATAATACTGCCTTTTTAGACCAAACAGTATACCTCTTTCGCCGAGAAAATTGGGGGGGGGGGGGGGGGGGAGGCTGATAGTCTTGACTGGCAAGCACCGATGTCATGAAACTGTCCAAAACATCCTTCAGTGTTCGACTACTCTGAATGTTAAAGAAGACTGCCTTAGTTTCATCACATAGGCTTGGTATCTGAACTGAATGCGAACATTCGTACGTACTGAACTACATTATCAGCTGTTACAATAGTCTGATAGGTCTGACCACAATACTTCACTATAGTTTTTTCAGTTGCCTGACCGTATTCTGCAATTTGAACCGGCAAACAGTACGAGCATACCAAGTGGGACTCTTCAAAAATTACCTCGCTATTGCCACATTACGCACACAACACTAAAAGGATAAAATCAACTGCCATCCCACGTATTATACACTGAGTGGCGCTCGGACTAACGCGGCTTTTCTGAGTGGAGAGCGTCCCAAAACAGAATAAGATCAAAGCTCTAGTAACTAATTTGATATTGGCATCATGATGGCGTGAAGTCAGTGGATACATTTTAAGTAGATCGGAACTTGATAAGTACGGAAGGAAGTGCTTTTTAATCCAAGTTTATTGCTTACTCAGGTTTTCTAAAGACCCCAAGGTTGCTCTTATGTCTAACTGGTTAGTTGAAACTTCGGTTCAGTTGTTGTCATCATCATCATCGACAGCATGACACCAGTGTTCAACACCGATGCTTCACTGCCGTACAACCATGACTTATTTGAAAGCCTTATTGTGAAGAAAAGAGTAAAGGTGGATGGGGAAGGGACTTAGTGCTTAACACAATCATTCCGAGGTACCTATACCTCCAAACACTCATTCAGGCAATCTAGATATAAACTGACAACAAGAACGCCACTGACATCGGTTGGCAGCCATATATTGTAGTGTCTCAAACTAGGCACAGTGAGGATCACGCGGTCCCCATCCTGTAAGGCGAGTAGCACCGACAGCACCCGTTTCGTGATCTCCTTCATACTCCTCCGCCAAGTCAAGGGTTGGCCACCTCTCTGTTCACGCCACTCTGAGTTGGGAATGGAAAACAGCACTCTCTTCGGCAAACGATGGTTCGGCATACGTAACACATGTCCCAACCAACGCAGCTTCTGGTGCTGGACACATTCTTCAATGGAAGTACCCGTAACACAAACAAAAACACGCTTTCTAACTGCCTCGCCGACACCAACCCACACGAGCTACGGTTCTGAGACAACGATTGTCGAACACCTGAAGACGTCTCAGATCCGCTGCTCGAATAGGTCAAGTCTCACAGTCATACAACAAAACAGCCCGTACTGTAGCTTGATACACACGTCCTTTCAGATTCAGGGATAAACCATTCTGACGCCATAGGTGTCTCAAGTTAGCAAACGCGGCCCGAGCCTTGCAGATTCGTGCATTCACCTCATCTGTCACACTGCAGTCAGAACTAATACAACTTCCAAGATACGTAAA